AGATATTCAAGAATAATTTCTAAAAAGTGCTTTCTTCGAATACTTGCATGCATCTCGTACTGATGATGAATGAAAAATGGAAAAATCACTCTCATTTTGGTGCCGTGATAAATATTGGCCCTTTTTTCCAATTTCTATAAGGCCATTTTTTAGTTGTAGATTCATTATATTTGTCACAACTTCAAACCTTTCTGTAAGCCACAAGCAATATTTATGCTATATAACGATAAAATAATACAAATGTATTATGTTTCATTGTGCCCATTATGGTTTTATATTTAGTGAATTAAGTGGACCTTGAGTTTGAAACGGTTGTAAAGCCACCTGTGAATGATTTGTACATTTGTATAAACAGCAAATGCTTCATAACACACTGTAAGGCTGTGTTTGTGTGAATCCTAATTAAATATGATTACAGCTCCCAGTTAAATCAGAGAAAAACATATGCCTACCAACCACATGCCATGCACAGTGACAGTGACATCCCATAACAATTAGATACTGCCATCATTACAGTCACCCTGGAGGCTCGTCTCAGGTGTAAAGGCTTCCCTCATATGTGGTGGCGCCATAACATGACAAATGACTTTAATAGAAGCAGTCATATTTTAATCCGTGATCATTTGGTTATCCTGTGTGTGTGCATAATAACGACAAGAAACCTGCTGCCTGCCTGACACCTGCTTGTGTGTCAGCATGTGCGTTATTTGGAGTTGAACAACTGGTTGTGTGAGATAAATGTAAGATGATTTTTCCCCTCAGGATTTTAGTTTCTCCTCATGCTGATCGCCTATGTTTTTATAAGAAAATCAACACATGATTCTATTTATATACAGATATCTCAGAGTAATTTTCACAAAATGCTTTCTTTGAATAGGTATGTGCTCTTGTACTTGTAATGGATGACCAGAATTTTCCTCATTTCGAGAACAATTTTCGCTTCGTAAATGGATGTTGCTTAAATTCTTGTGCCATGATAAATATTGGTCTTCCTCTAATTTTCTTACAGAAAATCAATAAAGTTTTATGATGCACTTTAGGTATTGTTGGTAATATTTTTTCTAGTTGTGAGCCGACTTAATGTAGCAGAAACGGCGGTGAATGAAAATGTTTTTCTGCAAGCACAAGATGAAATACTCTGCGGCACACTGCTTACAAACAGGTAATGCATAGAAGCTCCTATTTCCTCCATTAGAAGATGAAAGCTGGGTATTAAAATAGATTGTTTACCAGTGGGACCTGTCACTGTCACTATTGGCCCACTTATCATCTCCTGATAGTGGCTGCTGGCCAGTCAGTGGATGTATTCTTGTGAGTTAGGTGTCATATTGTCTGGTGACTTTTTTTTCACACTGCACAATCAGACCATTGTGTTCATCTAGGGAAGTGAAAGCAGTAAATTCCAGCCGTTGATATTATATCACATGTTGAGATTCATTTACGCAACATAGAAAATTCTGTGTAAACTTCTAACAGCAAGATGAGAAACATACTATCTAGCCAATTAAAATAGTTGAGTTTAATTCATTGTTTAAGTTTAAAATGACTAACCTTTCTTTTTCTTTTCTCACATTAACCAGTGTTTAAAACAAGAAAAGCAAGAAATGACAAAGTCAGACATCTGGCCTACATCAGGGTGAACAGAAACAAGTGCACAATAAGGAAATACCCCGTCAGTGACAACTTTCCTAATGCTTCCGAGAAATTATTATAAATTTTCTCCAGCAAGATAATCATATCATATCAGTTCAATTCTGTTCAGCCTCAATAAACCAAATGACCCCAAGCTAAGTGAAGATAAAAACAGGGAGTGATGTCCCAGGCAAGAAATCAATAAAACAGGATTTATGTGAGTTTACGTCTTCTGTATTTCATAATCACACAGCTGTGAGGAACTTGATGTTTCTATCCCACCCCTCTGTTCCTTTTTACCACTCTGTCTATCAACAAGAATATTTTACATTTCCTGCCTACAGTCAGTCATCAAGTCATATGATCAGATTTTCACGGACGCCTTGTATGCACAGAAGCTTAAGCTCCCACTCTCACACACATGCGCAATGCACATGGCGTGATGTCACGTGTTACTGCTGGTATCAGTAAAAAATTGTTGCGGAGCAGAACAAATCTCCATTGATAAAGTTCTTTATCTACTTAGAACAGCACAGGCATAGGCATGGAGTTCACACACATGTGTAATATGTCCATATAGGGTCTTAATGTCCAGCTGTTGGATCCTAATGTAAATCGACTGTGTCTCAAGTGACCACTTAGATTGCAAAGAGTGATAGCCAGAACCTGCTACAGCTTACGTTTCTGTATGTGCATATACAATCTTATAGAAAGGCAGGTTAGAGGGTAGAAGAGAATGCCTTTAATCAGTAGTGACAGCTGTAACCCACGGTCACTGCAGCAAGGCCTTGATGCATGGGGCACCACCAGGTGAGCTATTCATGTGCCACATGCTACAACGCTGCATCCAGTTCTCCCTTAATACATCCATGGTAAACACTGTCGTACCGTATAAGGTTGCAAGGGACATACATTGTCAATGTTCTAAGAGGGAGAGAATCGTTTCAGGTAAGGCGTGTTCTTGAAGTAAGAGGCGTATGTTTGTTAGCTGCTGTTCTCGTCGCCATTCAAGCAACTACTTTGTATTTAGAAATCTGACTGGTGGGCACAGAGATCTCCAATTGTCTGGTATAGTGAGCAAACTAGGTACAGGAAGCACACACACTTCCTCTCCTTCTCTCAGGCACACACCTAGAGAGGGGACTGAATGGCTATACCTCACCTCGATGGACTTTAAAACCCAGTGTTGTTTGACCTTTGAAATCAATTGGGGGTATGCATTTGCATTTACACTACTATTACTGTATATGTCAGTGGTTCCAAACCTATTGTAGTCTGAACCCTGTATTCCCACAGTCCCAACCCCCTACAAACAAACACACTTAGGTCATGTGAGGGTGCCTTTGTGGCCTCTTTGTTGGGTCATGTGAGCGGGGGGCTCAGTGCTGACCTGGTCCCACTTCAAAACAATGACACTGCCTCTAGCCTTCACTGATGACCAAATGACTGCATGTCCAACATAAATCTAGGGAAACTACTTTAGATATCTACAACAAATGAAAACCATATGTAAGCGTTCACCAAAATATAGTACAAGTAATATGTGTGATTCTAGGGGACAAGATAGAGTACTGCAGAGGTGGAGAAGTGCATTAAGAAACTTGTCTCTTATCACTGAGTGTGTGTGTGTGGTAGGCGGACACAGGGAGGACGGCGCGGCAGAGTAAATGATGGCAGTATTGATCTCCAATGCTCTTTTATAGCCCTGTCATGTCAGTTTAGCACCTTGGCAACACTGGCATTAGAGCTACATCAATACTGAACTCTGGCACTCAGCAAAAGACAGATAGAAAGAGACAGATACAGAGAGGGAGAGAGACGACAAATAAACAGAAAGAAGTAAATACCAAGTGCAACATCAAGGTAAAGACCTGTCCGCTCTAACCTTAAGAGTGAAGTGAAGTGAGGACACGGAGACCAAAGTCATCCACAAGTTAAAGGAATATTTTACCATATGTTGTGTCAAACAGGCTTGTGGATTGCACTGCATGACGGTTTTTTAAACATGTTAGTTTCCTATTCTCAAATTCCCTGCTCTATGTGCTCTAAAGTTTGCTGGTTTGATCTCTAGTGGCTTTAACAGTCACTGGGGAAGTGGTGGACAGTAGAAGGGGACATTTAGCTTCTACCACTTTATAAATGATTGCAAGTATGAAACACTGTTGAATGTAGACTCACCTCACCGTTTCCAGTATGCCCGCATGTGCATTTGTTTCTGCCACTACTCTAACACGTAAGAAGCCGGGTATTTGAGCCGCATTATACAGTAACTGCTACTCATTTGACAACACAGACAAATGCACACAAACAGAACAATGAACAAAAGATCTGACTCTCTAAATTGATCCAGTGTCAAAAATAGGCTTGAATGGGGTCACGCTGGTCATTCTTGCACACAGTAGTGTGTTTCCATTATTTTGTCCACTTTCATTCATGCGTGCTGCCGTTGTTCAGATTGATTAACTGACCCCTGGAGTCGGATAACATTCACTTGGAATAGATGGTTTTGAAATTGCCCTCTTCTGACGCTCCAATTCTGTTTGCTGAAGCAGAAAATGAACCCTGTTTGCATTATCTGATAGTCACTAAGTATTGGATTTCATCTGCTATATCTATTACTACAACAACGCACAACTACTTTTATCAACCCGAAGGTTTAATTACCTTGTTTGGATCTGGGTGGATTAATGTTCAATTATCTTTTTGTTTGTTTGTAGATATAAATGATATAACCTAACATACTGATACCAGGCCAAATACAACTACAAATACTTACATTTGGGTACTTGTCGATAAACAGTACTGATATGACTACTTAACAATACAATGACTTTCATCAGCTGTCCCTCACTTTCGTTACAAACTAAATGTTTCTAATTTTGTTGTAAAAGTTGCTTACAATATCTCCAACCTGCTCACATTGCTTCTCCTCCACCTACCTGCTCAACTCACTGCTATAAAGTGGTATCGGGTGCGGTAACAGAGTAGTTTTAGGACATGAGCACAGTATCAGACCCAATACAGATAATACCCAATACCGGTATCGGTATATAAAGTTTTATATATATATTTTTCTTCTAATATCTCTTTTTGCTTGATAATATATGTATGTTTGTCTCTCTGAGTCTTAACAAAACATTTCCCCCGGGATGTATTAAAGGTTTCTGATTCTGATTCTGATAGTATAAACCCAAGACACTCGTATGAAAACGAAGACATGAGAAGTAAAAAGCATAAATTAATGTTTTTAAACCTGTTGTTTAACCTTGTTTGTATGCACAGCTACATCAAAAAATCTGAGATAAAAATGTTTGTGTGCATATACACGAGAGAGTGTGTGTGTGTGTGTGTGTGTGCGTGTTACTGACCGGTCACATGAGCAGGCCACCAGTACGCAAAGCAGATTGTAGATGATGAAGGTGAAGATGACGGCCGTGATGGTGCCACGGGGGATGGAATAGCTGGGATTCTTCAGTTCACCTGGTAGATAAACAGGTTTACTATGCGTTTATACACAATACATCAGGTCACGCACACAAACAACCTGGCCTCACCCACCTGACATGTTGGAACCAGCCATGATGCCGGTGCAGCCATTAAACATAACAGCGAAAACAGTGGCAAAGGTCATCATAGTTCCGGTTGTGTAATCCACGGTGTAGTCAGCTGTGGGAAGAGTTAACAGCAGATAAGTCACTGTAGTTGTGCTTTTATCAGCGTCATCAGTCTTCTAAGAGAAAGTTCAATTTAGTTTGTTGGCAGACAATCCTCTGTACCTGCTCGCCACCAAACTTCGCCATGTTTTACAGCATTTGAGAAAACAATTCCCTACACATCCTTCCTGTTGTTTACAGCATCTACTCAATCACAGGACGTTGGATGTATTAATAAAAAACTAATCTTCTTTATGGTTGTATGTGTACAACTGTACATACATATCGTATCTACCAAAGAAACTTGTGATCACATTGTAACATTATTCATGACTAAAACTTGAACTTTTTTTGAATAATAGCGCTTTTACCTGGGTTCCAACTAGAACTTAACTCCTAAAAAGTACTGTGCTTCATTGATTAAGTAATCTAACCACTAACATTAAAAACAGTTACATTTGCAAAGCCCTCAATACAACAGTTTGTCGCAATGAAACAGAGAGGCCGGAGAAGAAGATGGCACTGCCACTACTCTCAGGCCCCTTTGCTCCTTTAGAATGTAATTAGACGCATTCAAAAGCAATCATTAGATTAGATGCTTTAATTGTGATAACCATTTTCTCTGTGAAATTTGATTTGGCATGTCTCTGTGTGTGTTTGTGCTCTATTTAGTCAGATCTTGGGATTATTCAAAGCTTGAAAGTGTAATAGTTCTCATGTGTGCCTGAGTGCATGCCCAAGTTACAGAAATTAGTAATCATGTGCTTTGAAAATAAATCCCTGCAAACAGAGTGGAGTGCTTGGTAAGTTTACTGTGGACATTAAGAACTGGAGAGCATGTACAACATCTAATTACAGATCAATAAAAACATCCGCCCTCTGCCAACAGTGCAGGAAAAGATTATGTACTTTAAGAAAAATGGGGACACATAGGGTGGCAGCAGGAAAAAGCATTCGCCACCACTGCAGAGGCTCTGGTTCCTTCACTAGCCGCGCTAATTTCAGCTGTTAATGGGTGGGAAGCCGGTGAGGGAACGTGCATCATCATGATCATTCAGTGATGAATGATGCTGCATTGCTGCAGTAGTGACTTCTACATTCCCTGTAACCCCAAGTTAACGGGGTTGGGCTATAGCGAGATAGAACATGCAGCATGTGGCTCCATCCTACCGTTGGCTGCTGGTTAGCTTAACTTTGCACAAAGAGCTGCAGAGCTGAAGTTCACTGACTAATACATTATATCTTGTTTAATCTATACAACAACCATAGTGAAAAACTGTACATTGCGCCTATATTCTGGGGGTCATAGGACGGACTACTTCTTTGTTATTTCCTGGAGTCTTGTCATCACCTTGAGGGCACCAGGAAACTAGCAGATACTCCAGTAATTAAAGCCGCCTGCGCTAGACATTTGGCTCTCTGCACCCTCCCCTGGCAGCACCGAGGGTATGCTTCCAATAAGCAGTTTAATATGAAATTTATAAACCATTACTATGCACTGGATCAAGTGACATATCTGTCATTAATAACTGTATTACAATCATTTCTTTTGCATTTTCCATCCCAGGTAAAGCTGAGAAAAAAATCCCCAAGTGCTGAAATGCTTTGTGCAGTGTAAGAGCTTAACTACGGCTTAATCTAGTCAAAGCCTTACATTGTACATTAATTCAGTCAAACTAAGTTATTATTCTTATGATTATGGAATGTAGAGGCCACAACTGATCTGTGTATTGCTTCATATCAGCCTACAAACCTACTGCTGTTGACCTATGTCCTATATAAAGTACGTATTCAAGTTGAGCCTTATGTCAACATCTTCACCTCATCCAAGTTTTGTGTTTCAGTGCTGAGCTGACTGCTTTTTGAGAGCTCCAGGATCAAACAGAGCAACGGTTATTTTGCTTATTTAGGTTCACCACTGAATCAGGGCTAGCAAAGGAACTGCAGCATGTTAGGCAGAGATAATAGCTTTGATCTATTAAATCATAAACAGCAATTAACTAATTGACAGTGCTTTTTTAAAATCTCCAGAAATAACTATTTTTGGCCCGGCCTGGTCCACCTTACCCCACAGGTTCCCGAGCAGCGTGTCCAACTTGAAGCCGGTGAAGTTGGCTGTGGTGGGAAACACCGGGCCCGTTCCGTTGGCTGTCGGGTTGGCGCTACTGGGCAGGACGACGGTACGAGCGGGTACGGCAAAGAAGCTGACGAAGATGGTGCCCAGGACAAACATGACCACCAGGAAGATGAGGAAGGTGGCCTTTGCGTAGATGTGGGCGCCCACCAGACAGACCAGCAGGCACAGCAAGGCGACGCCTGTGCCATAAAGAAGAGACCACCAGTAGCCTGACGGCAGGACCTGGTGGGCAGAGGTGGCAGCAGTCCCATCTAGAGATGGTTATAAATGATGTGTTCAAGAGTATAATGTAGCATGGTATTTTATAGCACAGAATGTACATCTAAATTGGTGCGTTTAAAAAACCTTAAGACACAAACATCTTTACACAGGAATAAACAATAATAGTTTATGCTCCAATCTAACTGCCCTGCAACAGAAAAACATTTTTTACGCATTATTTACCCAGGGAACATTGCCTGAGCTTTATGCTCTTTTCTGGAAACTTCCTTCTTTATTGTCATACAGTTCTACTCGTTCACACCTCAGATCTTCTCAGCATTTTACCACAGTCGGTTACTGAACACAGAAAGCATTTCTTATGTGGTATCCCTAACGTCCCTGACGTTTCCAAGAAGTGGATGACCTAAACCACCCTGGTTTGTTAATGTTGTTTTCTAAAGGAGTGAACTTTCTGTTTTCCATGTTATTAAGATGGAAACCCCCCCATTTAAATTACCTGGGAAACTAAAGTTACCTAGAAAATTAATGATTTGTAAAATTAACTAATATTCCCTGAGCAGGAAACTTGCTAAGCGCCACTCTTGTTCCACAAAGAACCAAGAAGAAGGATTATGACTGCTGCTGGTGCTATAACTTGTATTATCAAGGACCAGGAAGTCTTTCTGTGTGGAGTTTGCATGTGCTCCAGTAGGTGAATTAGTGACTTTCAATTGCCCCAAGGTGTGAATGTGATCATGAATGGGTGTCTGTGTGTCAGCCCTGTGACTGACTGCCTCTCACCCAATGTCAGGGCACCAACCCCAAATGACCCTCTAAAAGGATAAGTAGCTAATGGATGGATGAAGGAACATAACACTCTCTAGATGACCTACAGTAAGTAATTCAGAAAGCTAATGAAGTGAGTTACGATCACACTGATGTGTGTCTGTGTGTAACTTTCAATGTTGTGTCCCTTTTTCATAATGTAAATAAAATAAAATAAATCACCTTTAACCTAATACCAAGAGGAATGCTGACTCACTCACCTTCTGGCACTCCAAAGGTGGCCACAATAGCTTCAACCAGACCCAGCACAAAGAGAGCGCAGCCACACACATTGGCAAAGAAGAACATGATGCCGATGCTGCCACCAAATTCGGGCCCCAACGCTCGACTTATCATGTCTGAGTGAAGTTAAGGCAAAGCGTGCTTGTTTGTTGGATACACTGTAAAAGGTGGTTAGCATAAAGACTGGAAACTGGGGGAACCGGCTAGCCCACTATATAACCCACAACCACAACGTGTGGTTTTAACACTATGCTTTTTGTACAGACTAAACAAGTGAGATATAACATGTTAATTAGTAAGCTCCAGAGGTGCTGTAGGTGGATTTTCTTTCACCTTTGGTCAGAGCCAAGCTAGCTCTCTCCTGTTCCCCATTTTTGTGCTAAGCTAACTGCCTCCTGGCTGGAACTTTATATCCAATAGGCAGACATAAGAGAGGTATCAATGTTTTACTCTATCCATCGTCTCTCTATAACACAGTGAATAGGCATATTTCCCAAAATGTCAAACTATTCATCTAAGATCACTTTAGGGCAAATTACTAGGGCTGCACAAATAGTCTAAATATTCTAAACAATAACAATGATATTTAGTCATAACATAAGTTCCACCAAGCCTATAATAGTGTGTACAAATAAAACATAATTACTTTAAACCACTCCCTGCTCAAGACTGCAACAACTGAATGCCAAGGAGACAAAGCTGTTTACTGTACTGTAGACTGTTTGTCTAAATGTACCGTACATGTTCATTTATGAAAATAGATGGAGACGGCACTGATTGGGGTCATTTTGCAAATTCCTGGCAGCAAAACATGCTGGCCTCTATCTAAAATAGCAAACAGTGTCCTATAGTGCAGTTAATGAACATATCGGTCCCCATTCAGTGTCCCACACAATGCTACATCTGCTTCACTAAACACAATGCTAGAATGAAAACAGTCTGCCTTTGTTTAGCATAACAAGGACTTCTACTGCGTGTGCTCTTGATATCATGACCATTGACAATGTTAATGATACTACGGAGCAAATGTCATGTGATGGTGGGTGTGTGTGTGTGTGTGTGTGTAGGTGTGTGTATGTGAAGAGGATACAATAGGCTCCCCCGGCATCCAGGGCTCCATTGGTGGAGATGGCACAGACGGACAGCACGGTCATGCAGATGATGAAGTAGGCCACCAGGAACATGGCAATAGCTTGGTAAAGTCCGGACTGTCCCACCACGAAGCCTAGTCAGACGAAACACAGACAGAGTCAGGCAAACCGCTGAGCACCTGATCAGCTGGTCGAAAGCAAAACTTGGCAGCAAAGTGAGTGGGAAGTTAAACTTTCCCAGGAAAAGCCCACACACAGTACAGAGGATGTGGGCACACAATGTAGCATGAGAATCATGTTACGACACACTGTTACATAATCAAATCAAGGCAACTGAGTGTGTATGATATAGACATACATACATTTTAGAATAATTGTGCTTTATGATGAAAACATGCCTGAAAATCTTCAAAGAAATCAAAATGAAAGTACACATGGCACAATGACTCATCCCAACATTCCATCCTGTCTAAAACTGAAACTGGATTCACATGTTGAAAATGATTCCAGTTTCCCCTCTACTGTAATGTTGACATCTGTAGTTCAAATTATTTATAATATAATAAAAATTATAAAAGTACCAGAGAATAAATTTCTTGGTTTAACAAAGAGAAAAAAAGGAATCTGTTCGTATACAGCAGCTCGGAGTAAAACTTTGATCTTAGAATTAAGAATAAGCTCCATGCATGAATGTTTTCAGACTTGGTCTCAACTACTTAAATATAGAGAGCTCCTAAAGCTTTATATTTTATATAGAAGTGTATGATGATAGACTGATAAGATACAAGCTCTGTCCCAATACCCACACCTCCAATACAATATGAAAACGTTCAGTTGTTTATGTTTACACATTGCAGTGCTTCTGCCATTATATTCACATTAGCCATATATTAATAATAAAACGTTAAACACGTTATGATTATGGTAGCTAAACTGTGAAATATGAGTATTCTGGTGAGTTTGGAAGACGGTCAGGAAATGTTTTACTTTTAGGTTGAACCCTCCGTTCTCTGTTTGGGAACGACTCTATATCCTAACTTATACGGTCCAATGCAACAGTCCCACAATAAATCCGTCTTTCATGTCTTTCACCTGTTTTAGAGAGGGTTTAACTGTGCAGGCGTTCTGGAGGTTGTGGTTTGCAGTGCTGTTGAATTAGTAACTTTTGGCGTAGGGGCTCCTCAGTGAGGATGGAAATTGATTTTATTTTATTGAAGCCAATGCCACTATCGAGTCTGTTTATTGGGCAGATTATTTACAGACTCCATTTCTGTGTGGAAAACACAGAAACAGTAGAACTAGGCCTGTATGTGGCTCAGATGTGTTCCATTGTTTAACTGCTGTTTAATTTGGAACCGGTTCGGGATTCCCCTCACTGGCACTAAACACAGGATATTTACACTCTGTAACGGATGTGCTGCTCAGCTGGGAAGCAGTAGCACTCATGCGTAGAGTCAAATACGTGGCATTCCTGGAATTTTAGCCCATGGTGCACGGAAAGATGTTTCAGCATATTGCTGGTGTTTCCAACCTTACTGGGAACGACCATTTTACCAACATTACAACTAGCACTGTTCTTATCTTTCTTTGTGAAATCAATGCACGCTTTGGACCATTTCTTCCTCTCCGCCATGATACATTCTTGTTGCAAATTTGTAGCAACGTAGATGTGATGTCACCTTTTTCACAACTTGAAACTCTCAGAAAAAAATGCCGGCATCGATAAAAGGAATTAATTCGCTCAGAGGCCTACAATCGCAATGATTCGGACAATTTGGAATCGGTCCCAGCAGGAACCGGTTCTTGATTACCATCCCTACTCATCACTGGTGACTGACAGCAGAGTTGTCACTCAGCTGAGGTTCACATTATATTACTTCCTCATTAAAAGCTCTTTGAAAGACCACAAAATCCACAGAAACAATCACAGTCTGATTTTTCTTTTCATTTTAGGACTCGGAGGCAAGTATCAAGTATTTTTAAGTCCAAGTGAGGGTACAAGTCATTGGTGTTACAGCCAAGGTCGAGAGGCAAGTCTTTTTTGATTTTGTCAACTCGAGTCCAAGTCATGTGACTCCAGTCCACAACTCACAAGTAATTTAGCGTCACCATAGACACAGGAGTGCTATTTGCAACTACAATTTGTGACGTTTGCCTTGTTGCATTGCTAATTGCAGTCCTTATTTAACAGCACTTAGGAGTCACTGCAATCTGCACTTAAAGGTCCAGTGTGTAACATTTAGAAGACCAGAAATTGAATATAAGAATCCTTGTGTTTTCGTTACCTTTGAATGAACTGTTTCATCTACAGAGGGAGCAGGTCGACTTTCATTGAGTCTGGCATGTTTCTACAGTAGCCCAAAATGGACAAACCAAACACTGGCTCTTTTGCTTTTTTTCAGGTATTTCGCAGCCCCCATAGTTTTCCTACACACTTGGAGGGAGAGTAGTATTCAGTTGGTTGTAATCTGAAACTTCAGCGCTAGATACCACAAAGTCCTACACACTGGTCCTTTAAAAAAATATAATTCAGACTTTGTTAAAAGTTACTTTCAGCTTCTTCACACAGAGCTTCAAAGTCCTAGTTTTTATTAGGAGTTTTATGACTCATAAGTCAAAGTTTAGGACAATTCATAAGACAGTTTCTTAGATGTTGTATACATACTGTTCCAAATCAAGAACAGAATTTTACAGTTTTCTATCCTGCCAATGCTAAAAACAAACTTCATAACATAAAATGTGCAAAGACATTTTGTAACAAAACTAGTTCAGATGCCAGCAATGGTTGATTAAAATAACTCTCCCATCTTCTTAAGCAAAGTCATGTGCATCAAATCAAGTGTGGGAGAAGATATTAGTGCTACTTGTTACACACATTTTCACCAGTTTCTACTGTTGTGTTTGACTGCATATATGTTTGTGTACTCAATGGCTGTGACTATACATAATGCTGCTGTTTTCATGGTCTGCTTTTATCTACAGCAGCGCTGTAGGTGTCACATGATCACAAAGCACCAGAACATAAATCTCATGAAAAAGGCAAGAAGGCAGCAGGCGCAGCGTTCAGTTCATATATGTAGGATTATTCCTTAGCTAGATGGGAGTTTTAAGAAAATGTTGATATGATGAATGTTTTGATTTCAGAGAGCATAAAAATATAATTTGTTTTTCTGGGTAAACCTGGGTAGGACATGTTAGGCCATGTGTGACTTTAAAGATATGTTATCCAACAACAGATAGCTGATAAATCGACAATAGTTTCACATCCACAATGTAACCACTGTTAGTTCCTGTGTAGACATGTTACAGTGTGAGAATAGTAGTCTAAACTTCTACACAGACTACTACTATGTGTGTCCAGTCTCATGTGAGTGTGTGTGTGTGTGTGTGTGTGTGTGTGTCCACTGTACAGCAGCTGAAATCACATGAGACTGGGGGGGGGGATAGGGGGTAAAATGAGAGAGTGTTAGAAAACAACCTGGATGTACAACATAGAGAAAAACGCAGAAGTACACCACCCAATAACCGGAACTGAGATAAAAGAGAAGAGAAGAGAAGATGATCTCAGTTGTCAGTGGCCTCTTTCTTATGCTTCGACAGCAGAAATGGGAAACTGTGGATTGCATGACATGTGATCACTAGCTTCACACCTGCATTTTTTTTACAGCAACTTTTACCCTCTTGACATAGAACAAAATTACTTGTTTCAGCTGTTTCAGATATTTTATTTAAACTTACACAAAGTTAGTTAGGCCTACTCAAAATGAAAAACAGAAATCCTTCCTTTAAGTGAAGCCAACCTACAGTTGCCACAATAAGACTTTGAAGTATTTGACTTATGGATATATGTAGGTTACACTTTCCTACTGATATTATTACTTTAAGGAAAATGTTACTACTAATCTATTTTGTATAACTTAAATATTGAAAGCCTGAGTGTCTGAAGCTCACCCCTCCATGCCAGAGTGGAACCCATTCGACAGGTCAAATCAAAAAATAGGTCCAGCTGTTTTCAAAGACTTTACATTTTTGCTGTGAACAAACTTTTGTTGAGATTGAAACCATTTTGCAATTGAACCTGGGTTATGCATAACCTTCAAAACTAAAGAAAAGGCTGGTCAAACATTTAAAAGTTACCCAATAAATGTTACTAAGGAGGGAAAAGCTCGACAGCTGACTGGGGGAATTCATCCACCTTGCAGGTTACATGCAAAACTGTGTGAGATGTAGAGCTAATTGTAATAACACAAATTGATACACTTATTTTGAATAGAAGATTAATCTCAGTCAACTCCAATTTGGGCAACTCATAAAACTAGTGCTGCTGGACCAGTTCTCACACAGGTACCACAGGGATGAAAGAGGTCCAAAACAGAAATAAGACCCTGGTTTTGAGTGCAGGTTTGTATGACATCTGAAGTGACTGCCTCAAAGCTTAAAAGCTTTAATCTCCTTTGTGAGCATAACTAAATAAATGAGGTAATATTAAGTTACAAGGAATAAAGGCTTTCAATGGATCATATCATTTTGAATGTTATCAAGCACAACTTTATTTAAATAAAATCAACTTATTGAATTGGTTCACACTGCTCACTTGTGCCCTCGTTGTTACTTAGACAGAAGCACATTTAACACTTTAAAAGTTGATATGACTGAGACAATCCAAATATGATGACCGGCTAGCATACCGAATTCACCAGTAGCCCTTACAAAGCCGAGGTAATGTTATATACTATATGAACCTTTAGTGATACGCACGGCAACATTAAAATCTCTAAATTTTTGAATGGGGTTTGGCGCACCTCTGTTGTTGAGACGTCCCAAAACAGTGTGCAGTGATTTAAGAGGACGTCTGTCATCATCAGCACTCACCTATTCTGAGGAACACTACCACGCTGAACATTGACAGCAAGGTGGGGATGACCACACCGAAGAAGATGGAGAGTTTCTTGGGTTGCCGCTGCTGGGTAGACCTCTGCCTGGGGCTGCCCGGGTGCTGCTCCGGGGCGTGCCCGGCCGGAGGTGGCCGCGGCTCGGATTCATTGACGCTGGTGGAGAGGCGGTAGTGGAGAAGAGGAGTCCGCTCTGTCATAGTGAAAGCTGCCTCTGCACAAGCTTCACAACTTCACAGAGTGCTCTGGGTACTTTCAGAGCGAGCTGTCAGTCCAGCTTTGCTGCTGAAACCTGACGGACTGTTTTCGAGACCTTAACCACAACGTTTCCAATGTTTTTGTCGGAAGTTAGTGACGCGTCCCGATTGCCGACTGCCTCCCTGGCTACATAGCCGAGGAGGAAATAAGTGCTTTCGCTATCAGTAAAAACAACGTAGTAAACGTTTACATTCAAATGAGCAGTCCTTACATGTAGTAGCTATTAAAACAGCTAAAAAACCCACACACGCAGTCCATGACCAGCCACTGTAGCTCTGTATAGTTTTTTAGAACTACAATAGAATATCATGTGATGTACAAACGTTAATCACCTCAAGTATAATTTCCGGTTTTAACCTTCAAAATAAAAGCTACAAACAAGCTAGAGCAATGTTCTAAAAAGTCATAAAGTCACAGAGCAAGTTTCTGGTGCCAAGTCAGTCTGAATAATTCACCAAGAGAAACCAGAGAAATGCTAGTGCTTGAGACACAATCCTAAAATACGCAAAATACTGCCTTGTTTTTAAAAATAAATCCTGCTATTTCCGGTTTAGCCCCGCCTGTGAGTGGCTAACTTAGCTTCACAATGCTTCTAACGCTGTGATTTCCAGCCTGTTGCTTTCGGTCATATGATCAGGTTGGCTGGGCAAATCAGAGCACTGCATTCTTCCGGCCACCTGCTGATGGGAGATGCATCCAGATACGCAGTTAAAATCTGGAACTTGATTTCACTTGAAAGTTTATGCATTATATGCGTGTAGCATTGACAGTATAGTAAGTTATATGAATATATGAGTACTCAAACGTCCACTACAAAAGAAAATAGTCACTAGGCTGTTTCTTTTTGGCTACAGTGTCACCTTGCACGAATTAATATGGCCTATGAAAATACAGTGCAAACCAAAAATGTACCTCATCTTGTTTCACTTCTGTATTCTCAAACAATGACGCAACGCCTGTTCACCATCAAGGATTTTATTTTGAAAGTTATGACTGGTTTAATATTAATGATAAAAGTGACCCAAATAATACAGAGTAGTGCAACAGTGTAATGGCCCTCCCAAACTGCCTAAATCCTCACCAGCTAATAAATAATACATTAACATACATGACAGAGTCTGGACATCTTGTCTAGACACTACAGTGATTTAACAAGAATTACATATTATTAAAAAAAATATTGTAATATTAATACATACATATTATATATACATAGTCATACATATATTGAAAATAATAAATGCTACAATCTACAATATCTATAAAAGTAATACAGACCAATATACTCAGACATACATTACACAATGTCAAACTGACATTTCCTAAGATCTCAAATAAAACATGATGAACTTAAAGATGTATTCAGTGATTTCACAACATCTGTTCAGTCCACAGTTGACTTTCACATCATCAACAAGGAACTGGGGAAATGTTGCCATTTGCATGAACAAATTCACCAAGTATGGCCTATCTTAACTGTCCCTGTTTCATTTTCTGAATGTCTTATATGAGTTGCGTTTTCTTCCTTCTTTTCCTCCTGTCTTTTTTGAAAGATGATCTATTAAAAATCTTTTTCAAAGTTTTCCTGCAAGCCATGGCTTAGGAATGTACAAGATTACAATTAGCAGGCCTTTCACAATCTGAGATGCCCATTTTCCTTCATATGGGCTGATGACTGGAGCTGCAATTCTCATACTCACCCACAGATGGCGCTACAGTTACAGTTACAAAACAACAGTCATTCCGGTTTCCCTTCAAAGACTCTGAACCCCTATTCGTGGAAACGAAAACACTTGGTTGTATATTATTTTTCATTAACCCCTTTTCATGCGGTTATAGTCTACTGTATACTTTCAATCTAAAACAGGCACACATTACTATCAATTCCTTCACAATAAAAACACAATAAGTCCCAAAAACGTTTAGTTAAGTGGCTCAAGTTAATTGATTAGTCCGTCATACCTAGTAAAAAGTACTTAATCTAGAAGGTTTTTAACTCACAAAATTTACTTTGTGTAACTTTTGTGATCTAATCAGTTTCAAGATGTCTTTTGAGTTAACGTAATTTATACCATTACAGTGTAAAAAGTCACTTACACACTTGATAAACGCCCTAGTGTTTCTTTCTTGACGACGTTTAGTTTCAAGTGGTTCTTGCCTTTTTAGAAACCTTTCCACGGACACTTTTGAGAAACCTGTGAGTTTTTTTTTATATTCAACTCAAAACTATTGCTACAGCCTTTAGCCTTTACTGGTTGATGCCTTTATCCATCCTTGTTTCCAGATAACCAGAAAACCACAGATAATTTCCACGATCACATCCTCAAATCCAATCCCAGTCCTTTTTCCTTGGGTCTTCATCAGCATGACCAACCCTCTCAGTCCACAATGTGCTTTTCTTCCCTAGATATCCTGTTGCCTCTTGGATCAGGTCTCAGGTAACACAGCTCAGCAGCACAAACAAGCTACTTTCTATTTATTAGCCATAAGATCATTGGTAGTGGTTGTACTACCTGTCTTGGACGTCAGTAACAAAGCGTTCCAGTTTTCCCTTGATTAGGTTTTTGTAATCTTCCAGTAAGTTGTTCGGGCTGGTTTCCCTGGAACAGTTCTGTACTGCAGAATGAGATTGTGTCACCGTGTCACTCTGTAAGGGCCCAAAAGTGGATTTAATTTAATATACACGTAAACAGCATTAAACAGGGTTTGACAAACATTTCAGAACCGATACAGACATCTCTGAATACAGGCTTCCAATAGCATGTCTGTATATGTTGTTAGCTTACTTTCTTACTTTGTAACATTTGTGAATATATCAGTTAGTGTTCAGTAAGTTCAGTCAGTGTTTAGTCATATTGTTATAAATACATTTTAATTGTTCTTTGTTAGTGGATCTTTTTTGTATGTTTATGTATAATATGTTTACAACAATGTATGTTTTGTAGCCACGCAGTGTTTTTTGAGGTATTTACGTTCAAGTGTATCACCTGTATCTGAAGGAGTTCAATGATAACTATATAATTCCAGATGTGATGCTTCAGGCCTTTTAACGCGTCCTGACATTGTGATGTGTTCTGGTTCATCACCTTCTCCACTGCTTTATGAAACATCCGGAAGTTTTCAACCACCTCTGCATGCTTCTGCTGGAGCTGGACAAACACACACACACAAACTGTTACAGCTGGTTTAAAAAGTATTTTGCTAACATCCTCACAGTGATAATGCTAGCATGTTGCATGCGGTTTAGTGTGTTAGCATGCAAACATTGTTCCATAATGAGTGGCTGATGAGAACGGCATTCGTTTTGCAGGCATTTGGTCATAAACCAAAGTATTTGACAAAATTAAAATTTGACAAGATGGCACTAGATTAAAAATGTCAGGAGATCAAAGATATTACAATTTATCCTTAGAGATGATGAATATTACATAGAAATCTATCTAATAATTGTTGAGATATTACAATAAAGAACTAAAAAGTCAACCTTGTGGTGGTGCTGGAGGAAAAGTCAGCAGGATACATTGTCTGGGAACCATGAATGTCTGTACCAAAGTTTGTACCAATGTATGTAGATGTTGAGACCTATAACATAAGTGAAAACCTTGATCTACAGGTGGAGCTATAGGAAAGGTCAGAGGATCGCCAAAATTGCTAGAATGTATCCTCTAGGGACGCTGAATATCTGTTTTCAGAATTTCATGGTTATTCATGTAACAGTTGTAAAAATATTGCTCTCTGAACCATGTGGCGATAGAGGTAAAGTCAGAGGATTACCATCAAGATTCTTTCTCTTTGGAGCCAGTGCAGACTGTCAAGATATTTTGGTCGGGGCCAAAGTGGTGGACCAGTCAACCAGCTGACTGACATGGTGGTTCATTTAGATTTACCAAACCTCATAAATGAGAGTTCTGACTCTCACCATGATCCTGTTGCTAGTGTTATAACTGCTCCACGTCCACATCCTTATCACTCGAGTAAATTTTATCTTAGATGTAATCTCTACCCAGCATGTACTAGGAATTCCGAGAAATACCATTAAAAATAAAAGATTCGACATGAATTGGGATAGGCTCCAGGCCCCTATGACCCTGCATGTCTGTGATAACCAGGTGACAGATGGATTGAAAAATGAATTCATTAATATATTTACACAATGGTCCCTTTGATAGACTTTATATCTGATTCTGTTTAGGACCATTTTCATAACTCTATGCAGATATTTGAAGGGTGTGCCTTAACGGTTGATTTAACTGTTGGCTACAAGCTGGTATTTTGTCAAGTTGATGATTAGTATTGAGAGCTTGATATACAACCCTGTTGACACAATGGTGCTATTACTAAGCTTACCTGTGGGAACATTTTCATTTTAATTATAGAGGTCATTAGCGTGTTGAAGGAAGTGCAATGACAAGTATAAACTGTAATAACCATTGTAATGACTTTTTATCTAGTGCCATCATCGTTATTTTGGTTTCTGAACGAAATCAAATGGCATTCACGGCAAACTAAAATGGTGAACCTGAATACCTGCTAACACTGGCATTTAAGCTTTGTCATTGTTAACATGTTAGCATTTAGTTCAACAGCTTGTCTACAGCCGAAACCACGGCTGTTTCTGCTTTGCAAGCTTCACAAAGTTTGAGGTATGATTTGTTCATCACCTCAATTTGCCCAGACCTTCATCAGTGCCCCAACAGTGTGTCATACATTGTTGCAACAAATTAAATACACAGTTGTGGAAGTTATTCCTATTATAATGGTTTTAAAAATGGCAAACATTATGCAAAAATCTGAATAATATGGTAATTCCATACTATATCAGTATGATTCTAAAGTGTTTACTTGTGCGTGATTATTCTTGCACAGAGTACCACATGAGACCTGTATACTTAAAGCAATGTTTTGAGCATTATTTAGATTTAAAAGGTGCCTCTTCTGAGGCAAACATGCATACATTTTCATCCATTATCTTTCAATTTAGATGTTGTTTCTGTTGGTGGAAAATGTACTTCTGTAACTAGACTGTTGCTTTATCCTCAACACTCTGCTGGTGCACTGAATGAAGCCTAATTCACAATTTACAGTAGCAGCTTTTTAATAAAAGATGAGCAGTGATTGCTTCTTAAACTACAATGTTGTTACAGGTAAAATGCCACCCAAAGTAGCATATTATTGCACTGAAAGCAAGGAAGAGCACGCCATCTCATTGCACAGTTTTCTGTATTAATTGATGTGATAGTGGTGGAACAAGAAAGAGGGAAGTCAAAATCTGCTCATACACGTTGTTGTTG